ATTGCATTGTAGCGAGCGCTTTCTTCCGGTCTGTATCAAAACGTTCTGACGCCGACAAGAAGGTCATGACGAGAAAGTATTGTTTTTGTCATTGGTAATCTTATTTAAGGTAATAATCTAGCCTAAGAATTATAAATAAGTTTAGGCGTAGTAACTGAAAAGATGATTACATGTATTATGTATTAGCCTACACAAGAACAAACACAGTTTTTCATGCTGGTCGCAAACCCATTATGTTGGTTTTGTCGTGACGCGGCTCAAATGAAGAATTGATAAGAAAATGAAATATTTCATAAAACTAGAAACTATATATAGCATGATAATAAACCGAACTGTAGGACTGACAGCTATGACAGCAGTTTCATGCTAACTCCAAGCTAGCGGACTCTGTTAGATTTATAAGTGATTTATAATACATCTCTATGTAGGTCTGCTATCGGAAATTTATCTTTAGGTTGTAAAATTCTGAGAGACAGACGGACAAAAAGACAACCAGGTAGCTAACATATATGACAATTACAATATACTAAGCAAATCAAGTTGAATTTTAGTACGATGTGATAGAATATGAGACAAATCTGCTCTTAGTGCCCTTCCTATTGTGTGTCGAACACATATGTCTCATTTCCGAGCACATGTTTTACAAGCACTTCTCTCACATCTCGTGAGACAAATGTGCTCCGAGACAAATGTGCTCCGAGACAAATGTTCTCCTACAAAGCAACATTCAGGTTTTCCAAAGGTTAAATATGTTATATTTCAATAAACTCTTTCTTATTATTATCAAATCAAAAGAATTACGTTACTGCTATGCAGAAATATTATGGCCTGGGGCGACATCCATGTTTTTTTTCTACAGAAAATGATCGAGGCCGTAACAAAATGGTTGCAAACATGCAATCCCAAAGACTTTACCAAGTTCGGCAATTTATAAATATACCCTTCCTGAGCAATCTTAATCTCATATTTGATTCTATATGACCTGTTTTACCTTTTCAATCGATTGTTTAAAACTTTTACATAATACATCAATGAAACGTCACTCTCACATTATCATAGAAAAACAGTACCATCCGACATTAAACAGTAGTGTTGCGACATTTTAACGGCAAGGGAAAATCGAGTGACATTGCGATATTTAACGGTAGAAGATTTTGCGTCATTTAGCGGTGGTTGCGACATTTAGCGGCAATGGTGAGACATTTAGCGGAACAAGTGCGACATAAAGACTGTGAAGTTCTGACGATTAGGAAAAAACTCAACTTGCTAGTGGTATCATATACATTATTTTTCCTCGAGGCACAGGATTTTTTTTGCTTGACTTGCGCTATATACCTTTGACCTTCTAGATTAATGAAGAAATGGAATATTTATAGCAGTTTTCACCACTGACGAAATAATGTCAACCTTGGCTTGTCTCAGTTTTCACACCCTAAGTGGGATGTGATATTTATATAATGCCACCCAGGGTGCACGTATATGGCAATCCAATTAATCAGATTTCCTTTTTTCTTTTTTGTAACATCCAGTGTGGCCATACCACGTGACATTTACGTCATTTTTGGCATCATTTCCAAGACAAATATTGCTCGATTCGGAAAAGAAAACAGCCGTAAATATTTTATTTCTGTATCAATATCCTTGGGATATGCACCAGTCTACGGGTAAAAATATAAGCTTTCCACAGAATATAAGATCTCCGTCAGTTTATAAGCCGTTTTATCAAACACTTTGCATAACCTTGGAAGTTGCTTGTATTTGAGCGGGCTTTGGTTGCAAGCTATTTCGTTTTCTGGCGTTATTTGGTCTACGCCATGATTAATAGGTCAGGTTTACATCAACTGGGGGTACAGACAGCAAAATCCTACCTTAATATGTTTACATGTTTATTATTTATGGCGTAAATCTTGCCATTTTCTTCAATTGTCAATTCTGGCACCAGTTCCAAGTCGAAAAAAGGGACTACAGTTTAAAGCAGATTTTAGAATCTGTTGCAAATGCAAAGCAACATGCCTACCGTTCTCTTTCTACAATTTACTGTTTCATTGTTGATCTTTCACAGAGAGATGGTGAAAAAACGGATTGTTACTTAAAGCAATAACACTTACTTGTATCGCAATAGTGCACCGAAAAATAATATTTTGGTTTCATTTTGAAGATGTTTAAAGTATTGCTCATCTTATCCTATGTAGTAAAATGTGATTTTATTCTATTTCACAATGGCGAAATTGATAAGAAATAAATGTGCTCTCAGTGAGAGAAAGAGTTAAAATAAAACAATACTACGGAAAGGGTTACACTATAACGCGAGTGTCATAAAAAGGCTTAACGTATTTTTTTCAGTCTATTTTTTGTAAAGAAAAACTGACAAACACTGACACTCGTGAAGGTGACGAATAGGTTCTTCTGTCCTCAAAAGAGAGACTTTGAAAAGGTATATATTTTTCTGGAATTGACGTATAATAAATTTCTATAAAGTTTGATAAACAAAAATTACAATTTAGAATTAGAATCCTGAATCTAATTGTCACGCGCATTAACATGACGTTCACATTTTATGCTTATTTAACTATAAGCATATTCATCATCAGTCAGATTTTGTTCTTTGTGTAGAACAATTATAAATAGCATTACATATAACTTGGAACTTTGCATGTAAACCTGATAGTATTGTTACTTAGTTGCGTTACTTATGATTCTCTATTTATCAAAATGGCCCAAAATAGCCCTGAGTCGCCAATAAAAAACGTGAATGGACGCCATGTGGAGTAAACAAAGTAGAAAATAGTAAACAGATAAATGATTTTACAAACCAACAGCCATCGATCAAAGTCAAATTTCTTGAAACAAAACATTCTAAAAGTCGGACATAGCAATGATTATCAATAATTATATAAATATTTACATTAACATATATGTAATAGCAACACGACTGGGTCCAAATATGACACTGATGCGTTCATTGAATTATTGATAGCTAACATAAGCTAAGTAAAATTACGAATACATTTGAAGAGTATATTCAATTTTTATTCTTCAAATGTCAAATTAGTTACTTCTTTATTCACATATCAGATAATTCATTTATTTGGCATATGCATTATGTTTATCATGTTTTAGATTTTAATATGTGGTCCTTCTTTAAATCTAAATCTTAAAATGCAACAAAAATCCTGTTAAGGACATCTGTAGGTCATGCCGCGTGCAATAATCCATGCATTTACATCCAATGACCACATCGATAAGAAATAGTCCCAAATAGCCATATCGTTTTTATCCAGTTGGAAGAGACATTATTGTTAAAAATTCTTCTCGATTTAAATGTTTACAAACCATAAATATTCCGTTCCCTTCCTCTCTTTACAATGTGTATTGGTGAGCTCTCTGGTTAAGCTCGATTGACTGATATAATTAACTAAATTTGTCAAATATGTACTTTATCAACAGAAATAAATGCAATAATAAAATAAATAGTGTTAAGTGTTCTTAGTGAACGAAGTTATATCCAGTTCACGAAGTTATATCCAGTTCAATCCAGTTCACGAAAAACGGTTACCGTTGGTATGAAAACAGGATGTAAAATATTTTTTATCAACGAGTGACACTGTATTAAAAAGCTGAATCTATTATACTTAAACATTGCTACAGGTTTATAACATTATGGTTATACGTATAAATAACTCTTTACATAAGAATACCCTTTGACTTTGAAATTGCCGCGTTGAGGCATAACGCTTTACAGCATAAAAATGGAAGTGATCCTGAATGTGCACGTTCATTGGACATTCTAGCTAAGTCAATTTTGCCGTTTATGGGTTTCTGTTTTCTCTCTATTTTGAATACGTTTACCATTGCTACATGACACATATATATTTTTCATAATCATTACCGTGAAAGAACAATGATTAAAGAGCAAATCAATTTCTTTACAAATACACATGTACAGACAACAATTTTACGACTTTTAAAATCACTTATAGCGCAGCAAGTAAAAATCATTTAAATATTCATTTGTGTTTATGTAAATCGTACAGTAAATAACAAATGTTTTTATGGTTAACATAATTATAGAGAACGAACGGTAGGCATGTTGCTTCGCATTTGCAACAGATTCATAAATCTGCTTTAAACTGAAGTCCTTTTTTTCGACTTGGAACTGGTGCCAGAATTGACAATTAAAGAAAATGGCAAGATTTACGCCATAAATAATAACCATATAAACATATTAAGGTAGGATTTTGCTGTTTGTACCCCCGGTTGATGTAAACCTGACCTATTTATCATGGCGTAGACCAAATAACGCCAGAAAACGAAATAGCTTGCAACTAAAGCCCACTCTAATACAAGCAACTTCCAAGGTTATGCAAAGTGTTCGATAAAACGGCTTATAAACTGACGGAGATCCAATATTCTGTGGAAAGCTTATATTTTTCCCCGTAGACTGGTGCATATCCCAAAGATATTTATACAGAAATAAAATATTTACGGCTATTTTCTTTTCCGAATCGAGCAATATTTGTCTTGGAAATGATGCCAAAAATGACGTAAATGTCACGTGGTATGGCCACACTGACATCTATCAATAAAATCTACTTTAAGGTAAAACAGCTATGTTCAACTTTATTAAAGTGCTCATGAAAACAATGTGATTGCATTTTTAAAAGTGTTATATAACTAAATAAATTTATACGCTGATTTGATCACATTTATTTTAATATTATAAATAACATCGCTCAGGATTGTACTCTACATTTATGAAGTCATTCGCACCGTTATTTAAAGAGGTGGTTTTTTCATGCTTCCGTAGTTTTTTTAACTCATTTATGGTAAGCCATGGCTGTCATAGTTCAACTGTTCTATTTTTCTCTTCAGTGTAGCTAACATTTGTAAGTAACCGACTAAATTACTGCCCAGTAGCGAGTTTAGTAAATTATTTAAATCACGTAAAAAGTGGCGGGCTTTCATTTGAAAATATTGATCAAACATTCCATGGGTAGATCGATCGTGCTCTCCAGTGCGCAATAATTAAATCGGGTTTATGATAAGTAAAGAACAGGCTCGTGAGTCTATAAATAGAACAGATATTTATGGTGTTAATGGTCCGTAGCATTTCATATAGATTTTATTCGTCATCGCTTTTGTCATGTTATGTCGTATGATAACACGTTATTCTTGTGTAGACAGTTATAAACATGGATGTGTTAAACACTGCTATAGTCATGTATAAAACTCTACAGGTATAATTACAACTTTAAACCATACAAGGACGGAATATGCCATTTTTGTGACGGGATGTTTACATGTTTACGTATGGTTCGTTGAAATAAGGCGTGATAAACGCACGAACGTGTACAGGTGTGTTTCATGTTAAAGGGACGTTTTTGAATTAATTGTCGGTTAGGTTTTGAATCGGACTGTAAATATGGGTGAAAAGAAACTAGCAGAGGCCTACATTTTAGGAATCCCATTCGGATTATTCGGTGCTCACCATTTTTATCTGGGACGGAAAGGGTTCGGGATCCTATATGCCTGCACCCTAGGTCTACTGGGGATCGGATATATTTATGACTTGATACGCATGCGGTGGTTAGTGAGACATGCAAATATACATGGGACTGAAAGGAAGATGGTTTCGGACTGTTACCTGATAGGATCACTTGGCGGACTATTCGGTAAACTCATTTAAACCATATATATACACTGATAACCCTTTTTATGATTCCTAAAGAGCTAAATTTACGATAGCGTATTTATCAGTTTATTGTATGTATATTTTAAATAGTTCGGCATATCTTTAGTCTTAAATATGCTTACATTTTAAGAACATTCCTCGTTCTGTTTCGCATCATTGAATGTATACTAAAATGCTGAGTGCGGTAAATTCATACTGTGTATATGATTGTAACAGTATATAATATGAGTTCATTGATTACCTGATTATTATTCAAATGCCACAATTGAAAAAATATACAAACAAATATACCAAGCTAATGTCACTCTGTGTAATAAGTAAGGTTTATAAAACCCGTAAACTGGACACACCTACATGGAAAAACGAAAGTTATATATAAATATTGTTTTAATGGCTATGAATGTCTCAACAGTAAGATTAATGCTTTTGCAACAGTGCAAAAACGACTATCTGACAAAACCTTCGTTGTAAACTTGGTTTATAGTACTACATACAAAAAATCTGTGATTTAAATTGCTGACAGTTACATAAATAAATTGACAGTTACATAGATAAATTGTCTGTTTTTTTTGCAAATGTTTGTCAAAAATGCTTAAATGTTGATCAGATCAAATATCCATCAAATATTTATGAAATTTCTATATTTATCTATTTTTGTGTTCTGCAGTATAACATTTTTTCTGATCGTTTTTACATTATATTGATAATTCAGATATTCTTAAGCTTAAGCTTAAGATATTTATAAGATTGTATTTCTTCATGCCACCCTAAACCAATTACAGTTCATAATCACACGTGGTGGTGAGAATAACCATTTAGCTTAATCTGTTAATATCAAAATCATTAAATAGATATTGCATTTTAAAATATATAATAAATCCTATGTGATTAGTAGCCTATCCCACTTTCGGTGTTTTTTTTCATGTCTTAACGCGTTAAATCATTTGAAAAGTCTCAACAAATATCATCAGAGGCTTATATATTAGCTTTGACCTTGACCTTTAACATCTTACAGATATTTCAGACACCAAATACCGTTCAATTCGCGGCCGAGGAGGTCAACATTTTAAAAATACATTTGTTTTCATTATGAGAATAGTTTTGTCTATAAATATTTCGTCAAACATAACCAAAGTTACTTACACGTCTGGCATGTTGCAAAATAGTAATAAAAATGTAATAATCTGTTTCGCATTAGCTTGCACACCCATACCGACTATGTTATAAAGTTTTCGTCAACTAATTACTTTTAAAAAAGAAGTTGGTACTGATTCAAGTTATGTTACGAGATTCTTACTAGTGCGTTATGTTAGTATGTAGACAGGTTTAAATGCCTTCATAACGTGTAATATTATATGATTTATGTCTTAAATGTATTATACTATATAATTTATGTCTTAAATGTTTATAGTTATGGTATTTAAAGAATGTAACGTATACCCGTCCGACTTTGGGGGCATTAATACTATTAACCTGTAACCTTCTGAATGTTTTGAATGATTTCGCCTGGCTTCCATTTTTGGAACTGTCCATTATCAATTTTGGGGGTATCAAGATGAAAATGTACAGTATAGTCACTGACCAATAACCTACTGTTTGAACAGCTTAAAAATTAGTAAAGTGTAACCTATTATTTTCTATACATAACCATAGTTTGAAAAACAACAACAACAACAACAAAACAACAATAACAACAACAAAAATACACACAAAACAAACAACAGTAACAAACAAACAACAAACAAACAAACAACAAAAAACGAATAATGAATTTACAAAACGTGAGACTGTTAACTAATTTTTGGCGGAACATACATAATGATGTTATATACAAAATGATATGTTAAGCATAACATTAAACAAGAAGTAATAATAATTCATGTTGGTAAATAATACACTCATTGGTGTATTTAAAAAATAAATACCGTTATAAATGATATTTAAACATGATACATTCCAATATAATTATAATATTTTTCCCACTTACAGGTCCTGTTTTACAATGCAAAAAGCTTTTCACCGCTTTAACATGAGGAATTTTAAGTGGATTGGTCTAAAATGGGCACATTTTTCATTAGTATTCCAAATATTGACAGCCACATAGAAATGCTTTATTTGATATACTGATTAATTAAATATTTCTTTTGACAAACAGATGTTGATTAAGGTCTGAGTATTAATATGAAAAATAATATTTTGTTCTAAAACATGTAAAACAATTTTATTATCTGCTATATTATGCCTATATATAGATATGCTATATCAGATCATGTATCTCACACCATCCTACAATATTTTATTTTTTCATAAATAGTTTGTTGTCTTTTACATGTATAATACTAAATACTATCATCACAATTATGTATGGTATATATTATAAACATACCTTCCATTAGTGACCAAGTCACTTTAAAGCAAATAATTTGGTGACATTCAGTAAAAAGTTTTACTTCAGTACATAAAACATCATCGGATATCCACGGTTGATTTACATGTAACATATCATGTTATCAGATGTTGAGGTATCCGACGAAGTTCATAAATGAGCCGCGTCATGACAAAACCAACATAATGGGCTTGAAACCAGCATGGATTCAGACCAGCCGGCGCATCCGTGCAATCTGATCAAGATCCATGCTGTTCGCTGGCAGTTTCTCTACTTGTTATTGGGTTTGTAAGCGAACAGCATGGATCCTGATCAGACTGCGCGGATGCGCAGACTGGTCTGGTTCAATGCTGGTCGCGAACGCACTATGTTGGTTTTGTCGTGACGCGGCTCAAATAATGATTTGAATAATGGTAAGCATATGCAACACGATTAATGTACCGGAACCCCTAAAACTCGTGCGTGCATTTAGTTTTCTCACGAGAAGCTTTCCTTAATATACCGGTGTTTCTGTTTATCCAACCTTGGGTTCCCAATTCCCATTGTATTTCAAAACTTGTTTATTGCAAAATTTACATTTTCTGAAAAACCAACATGAACCAGTTTTCGTCTGAATTACGTAAGATCTTAGTTCATCAAAACATTTATTTTGCATATGAGTAATAACAGATTTTACATTGTAAGAATATATCGTCTGCAACTGTCGTGTCATGGATTAAAATAACAGCATTAAAATATTGTTAAAAACTTTCACATTTTCTGATTAACCAACATGATCCAGTTTTCGTCTGAATTACGTAATATCTAAGTTAACGGATGAAAACGCACGTAAACGCTGAACTGTAAACATGTCGTTTGCAAATGTCGTGTCATCGATTAATATAACAACATGAAAATATTGTCAATCGATAATTGAGGCTTTGATTAAAATGACTTTGATGTAATAGTAAACATTATTGATGAGGTAAAAAGGGTTGTAATGAAATAATATTTTTATTTTGGCATGTCTGTTTGTATGTCTGTCTGTCCTTAACATTTGCTTGAATATCCCCATTGATATTTTTGACAGTCATAGAGTGTTTCTATCTACATGTATTTGCTATTTTAAAGATTTTTTTCCCATGTTGTTTGAAATTTCTCCAGGTAAAGGGGCTTAGTGCCGGGATACAGGGCTTTTATTAATCAGTATAAATACTATATCAAAGTGGCAGATAGTTTCAGTTTTAGGCTGGAATAACATTATACTACTTTCACATATTATACAAGTTTGTTTAATCAAGAAATTATAGAAAAAGACGATTTTTGGGATGATTTTCCACTTATATCACGATTTCTAGGGTTACTTTTTAAAATTTGGGCTTTTTTAAATTCGATAGTTCTGTATTTGATTGTCTTAGTTTTAATATCTAATTTAGGATCTAAATTTGGTACTAGAGTTAACTTATTGAAGGTGAATACAGTAATAAGCAATCAAAAATGTATTTTTCACTTTAAAAGTATTGCGTTAAGGTATCAATAAAATATCGTATCTTACCATTGGTATCGGTTTCTTATCGTATCGTTTCGTTGCGTTCTGTACGATATCCAACCTTATGTTCCAGTGACCCTTATTGTCGTTGAATTTTACATGTGATCTCGGTTTAAAACTTTTAGTTCATGTGGTTATAGCCTTCTTTCTGACAAATGATGTTTATTATCATTTTATTTTAGTAGGTATTCAGAGGTGGCCTTTTAATACAGTTATGACTGTATCTTTAATTTTGTAATGAAAACATACATTAATCAAATTTTTTAAGTCATACCGTGTCATTTGGGGAATGTGTTAGAACGCGTCTGGTACACATAAACTATTTATTTTTAAAAAGGAAATTGGACATGGTTCTTACACACGAACTAAGTGATATATCGTAAACAATGTTAAAATTAATATATATACTTTTACATCAACATATTTTTTACATAAGACTGAAATCAAGACAACCTTTATCAATCTTAAAATGTCAACGTCATTAACAAAGTATAAACAACAATAGATATAAATCAACAAGTAAATATAGAGACGTTGGGTAAGTGGTGAATTTTAATTGGTGTTCATAAATCAATGATCATTCCATTTTTACAAACTTAAAATTGTTTCGAAATGTGATTGTTCTCTGATAAAACGAAAATTGTTAAAAGCTGTAATGAATGTTTATGTATTATTTGTGTTGATGACAAATCTAAATTATATTACAACCCTTGTGACTAATGAGTTGCCTTTAAGTGTTGAGGCATCAGAATTGCAGCCACCGTTTTTAGCTCACCTGTCACAAAAAGACAGGGTGAGCTTTGTGATCGCTTTTCGTCCGGCGTCCGTCCGTCCGTAAATTTTTACTTTAAATGACATCTCCTCATAAACCACTAAGCCGATTTAATCCAAACTTCACAGGAATTTTCCTTTGGTGGTCACTTTTAAAAATTGTTCAAAGAATTTAATTCCATGCAGAACTCTGGTTGCCATGGCAACCGAAAGAAAAAACTTTAAATATCTTCTTTTAAAAAACCCAAAGAGATACAGCTTAGATATTTGGCATGAAGCATAGTAAGTGTCTACCAAGTTTGTTCAAATAAAAGCCCTGTGGTCTAAATTGGCCCCACCCCAGGGGGTCATTGATTTTCCCTATAATTATGCATATAGTAAAAACTTAAAAAAATCTTCTTTTAAAGAACTCATGGAGCTAGAGGTAAGATATTTATCATGAAGAATGTTCTAATAAGTGTCTACCAAGTTTTTTCAAATAAAAGCCCTGGGTCAAAATTGGCCCCGCCCTTGGGGGTCATTGATTGTCACTATATGCATATAGTAAAAACTTAAAAAAATCTTCTTTTGAAGAACCCAAAGAGCTAGAGCTAAGATATTTAGCATGAAGCATGTTCTAATGTGTGTCTAACAGTTTGTTCAAATAAAAGTCCTGGGTCAAAATTGGCCCCACCCCAGGGGGTCATTGATTTTCCCTATAATTATGCATATAGTAAAAACTTAAAAAATCTTCTTTTAAAGAACCCATGGAGCTAGAGGTAAGATATTTAGAATGAAGCCTGTTCTAATGGGTGTCTACCAAGTTTGTTCAAATAAAAGCCCTGGGTCAAAATTGGCCCCGCCCGGGGGTCATTGATGTTCCTTATACATGTATAGCAAAAACTTTAAAAAAATCTTCTTTGAAAAAACCCAAATAGCTTGAGTTTAGATACTAAGCATGAAATTTCTTCTAGTGAGTGTCTACCAAGTTTGTTCTTATAAAAGCCCTGGGGTCAAAATTAGCCCTGCCTCGGGGGTCATTTATTTTCCTTATATGTCTATAACAAAAATTTAAAAAAAATCTTCTTTGAAAAAACTCAAATAGCTATAGAGTTTAGATATTAAGCATGAAGCATCTTCTAGTGAGTGTCTACAAAGTTTGTTCAAATGAACGCCTTGGGGTCAAAATTGGCCCCGCCCCGGGGGACATTGATTTTCCTTATATGTGTATAGCAAAAACTTAAAAATCTTCTTTGAAAAAAAACCAAATAGCTAGAGTTTAGATATTAAGCATGAAGCATTTTCTAGTAAGTGTCTACAAAGATTGTTCAAATAAATGCCCTTGGGTCAAAACTAGCCCTGCCCCAGGTGTGTCATTGTTTTTAACTATATGTGTAAGAAAAAACTTGACCAGCTAGACCTTAGATGTTTAGCATGAAACATCTTCTAATGGGTGTCTACCAAGTTTGTTCAAATAAAAGCCCTGGGATTTAAACTGGCCCCGCTCCGGGGGCCTATATACAGGTGAGCGACTTCAGGGCCATCATGGCCCTCTTGTTATTAGTTGGGTCGTCAGACCAAACAAATAATGGTAGCGAAATTTCAGAGTCTGATGCTGTTAATTGCAAATGCCGAAAGTAGGCCTTTTTTGAAGCGGTTACTTCCCTTTATATGTACACTAACGCCGAAAAAATTCAGGGGTGATCACTGCGTAAAGATGGTCAAATAACAGGCGCATTAATTTTCAAGCAAAAAATTCCCGAATGGTCGAAGATTTCTAATATCGTTTTATCCTTTATAGATGTACATGCTTATAATAAGCTCCATGATTATTAACATCTGTGTTAAACAACAGTTAGCGTCGAAATAATAAGGGTAACAAACCCTAATTTAGAATAATATGATTTTCTTCAGGCCTTTTACATATAACTTCACCGTGGCCGAGGGGTCTGGAGTTCAAATCCAGGAAGGCAACTCTTTTTTTTTCAAATTGTTTAAGTCAAATAAACATTAAATTGAATATCAGTGTTGCAATTAGTCTTAAAGTCAATTAACTACATGTACAATTAAAACGCTGGAAAGCACTGGTGGCACTATACAAAAACAAATTGGTTTATAATCTCACAACCTTCACCTTTCTGACATTCTAAGACCCAAACAAATTCAGCGACTTCTGTGCTTTGATTCTCTAAGTGATCGTAAGAGGTGACTAAATGGGTTCGTTTGAATAAATGGAGTCTAGTCTTAGCTTCAGCAGGTGAGATTGTTTTTACCCCTGGTGTTGCTTGAAGTTTGTATAACACCCGAAGCCAGCCAAAATAATCTTTCCTTTTTCGGCGACGTATGACCTAGATTGTGTTGATGCGCCGTAACCCCAACAGATCGTACCTTACTTAGATAAGAATCGTGTTTCCTCATATAACGCAAGTACAAGTTAGTCGAATTCAGTTATTTTTGCTCAGATGTGATGACAGATTGTAGCTTATTCTAACCATTCTCGAAACCATTTTCTAGACTTAGATTAACCAGTACTGGTGTCCTACAAGGAAACATGATTTTTTTATCTAAGTATCTGATCTATGCGATCTGTTGGTGGGCCGAATATACATGTACATTAATCCTCACCAGGCTTATTATCATAAATGGAAATGCCTATCTTTTTAATATGGAGAAAACCATTCCATCCTTCATGGGAAACAATTCAAATTATAAACAAACAGAATGCACATATATGTGTCGGCTGATATTGGTCTGTACTGGTAGCATTATGTCGCCGCCAGCGGATGAAAGTTACCAATAGCTATTTACGTTACCAAAATTTTTTTTTTCTTAAATGCTGTGCCTTTAATTATGTAACCGAAACATTATTTATCATAAAATGTTGTGCCTTACCCTAAAATGTTGTGCCTTACCATAAAATGTTGTGCCTTACACAAAGAGAATGTTTACAAGTAGTTGTTGACCTGTTAAGAAATGCTAGCAATAAACCACTTAAATTTTTGAAGAATGCAATATTTGGTAATTTGAAATATTTTCTCTGCATATCTTAGATAACAGTATTTAAACTAAAAGATAAATAGCGTATATACGTATTACTTAACCCTTCTCATTAAATTTCTATTTTAATCTAGAGATGAAAGAATCTACTGACATACGTTCAGTTTTTGGCTTGTATGAAACCCATCCTTTAAAGCGAACTGGTCTACAGTGTATACTTGAAGGTCTCTAGACCATGAATAATTATGTGGATAGTACTTAGTATCATACATGAAAAACAAAACCACGAAATAATTATATATGTATATGAATGTTGTCGATAAGTGTTCAATAAATGATTCAATATGACATAAAAATGTGCAGATAGAAGAAAATATTATAATTATTATTATTATTATTACTATCGTCGTCGTCATCATCATCATCACCATCAGCATCATCATCATCATCACCATCACCATCATCATCATCACCATCATCATCATCACCATCAGCATCATCATCATCATCATCACCATCATCATCATCATCATCATCACCATCATCATCATCACCATCATCATCACCATCATCATCATCATCATCACCATCATCATCATCATCACCATCATCACCATCATCATCATCACCATCATCATCACCATCATCACCAGCACCACCATCATCACCACCATCATCACCACCATCATCATCATCATCACCATCATCATCACCATCATCATCATTATTATTATTCATATATATGTTCATAACAAATCATTTTGAAACTCTATCAACATTCTGTTTTCCAGAAATATTTCATAACAAGCAAATGATATATTTAAACTGTTTTGTCAATATCTAAAATACATATTAAATACATATGGAAAATAGGCTCATGGAACATGTACACCAATCCAAATTAAAGTGGATTTTGTACAAAAGAAAACTACACCGTCAAAGTTGTTTTATTCTACTATGGTGTTATTATATACAAATTGAGATACAATTATTGTCAATTTGCTTTGTTGTTTACCGACAGGATATTTTGCACAATTTTAGGCGCCTAGTTCAATGTAAACGCCAAACTTCACACATGTTTTATACTTGCCATACAAGGTCTAAAACTTCTCTCCTTGTTATCACCTTTTACTGTCATCTTGTAAACTTATCCCTTTAAAAACTTGGGAAATTTTTTTTGTCATTGTACCGTACGATTGCAAATTTTAAATCTATTTTGGTTTCTCTCGTTTTATTTGAATAATCAAAATGTGTTCTGGGAGATAAGACCGGGGACCGAATCTTAAAGGTCGCTTACATTTGTCATCTGTCACAGTTCAATGTGGGTTTGAATCAAGTCAAGTTTCGAAGGTTTTAAATAGATACTAACAGAGTGACGAAAGCATATACAAAACGAAAATTTCCCTATAGGGTTTGATGTGGTGCTGAGAAAATTCAGTCTCAATTGTATAGAGAAGTCCACATTATAAAGTTTATCTTTTATACACTTTTCTTTCTGCTACATACCTGTAAATATATTTCTATGTATAAGTTCGAGTGCATATTGGGTGTTCTTCGTAAATAAGAAAGCTAAAAAGGAGCGGAGCTTGCGAAGCGACTGTAGCTTTCTTATTTACGAAGAACATCCAATATGCACTCTAACCTATACTTACGCTTTTAAAGAGAACCGAGGACGCAGTATACTAGAAAATGACGTACTGTAGAGTTCCATCCCGTGGTAGTTAGGTATCACGTTACTCTTCTTCTTTCATATAAGTTTATACTTGACATTAAGGTAAGATCCCTGTAATGGAATCGGGGTTTTCCGTGCCATGTCGGCATTCTACGTAACTTATCGGCACATCCGTTACCTCTCGCCCGTTTCCGTAAACAGATTTACGTTTTATTTATAAATGAATAAATTATCCATATAATTATATCCAGTACAAAAAGAATTTAGTTTTTGATAAAATGAAAATGAAATTATCAAAAAGAATATGTTGTTTGTAAACGGATAATTCGTAAAAAACCCCGTTGCTGTGAAACCAGGTTGGGAAACCCCTATATGACGTCACGATTTCAGAAAATAGACCGCAGAAGTGAAAATGAAAGTAAGAGACAGAAAAGGCCATTACAAGGCCAAAAACAAACGCAAGTTGAGAAAAGAACCTAATATTCTTGTGGATCATAATAACCCTCACGTATTGAGCATTTGTAAGTGCAAAATTGGTAATTGTCCAATTTATGAACACCGACAGAAGGGATCGGCAGGTGGGTGGAGAAAAGCTAGACGGGTGATTGAGTTCGACGTTTTAGTTAGAAATTTAGCTCACTGCAAGGAATGTCATCTTGGAACTTTATTCTCACAAGCGACAACATTGTGGGGGAGCTGCAAAATGGCTTGGTGGCTATCTGTATGTTATGTGTTCGAATTAAGCAGTGTTAAGAGTGAGGAGCTGTAAATTTTGTTTCATATGGAACAACACACCACAACAAAACGAAGGCCGGGGATGTCCTGCTTTGAAATAAACACAAAGCTTGGATTCGGTAATTATTATTTTTTATTTGAAACAAATCTAGATATTTTAGAATGTTAATCAGCCAGGCCCCGAGGCACTAGATAATGACAAAGTAATTTGAGCCGTGTCGCGACAAACCCAACATAATGGGTTTGCGACCAGCATGGATCCAGACCAGCCTGCGCTTCCACGCAGTCTGATCAGGATCCATGCTGTTCGCTTACAACCCCTATAAAAAGTAGACAAACTGATAGCGAACAGCATGGATCCTGATCAGCGGGGATGCGCAGGCCGGTCTGGATCCATGCTGGTCGCAAACCCATTATGTTGGTTTTGTCGTGACACGGCTCATTTTAATAATTGTAACTTGTAAATATTACAGAATTTACACCGGCTCTCAAAAACTGTTTTATTATAGGTAAATTTAATTCTGTCGATATCTCGCCATAATATAAATTGCCGAATATCATCATTAAAATCAATTAATAGAAATATGTATGTTTATTATTTGTGAAAATGTATTGATAATAAGAAGTGCAATTAAGTAACTGGCTGAAAATATCATAAGCAATGTGAGTAACTGGCTGAAAATTTAATAAGATAGATAGATAGATAGTTTATTCATATAAGACGTGTACAAAATGCACATGGTCACAAAATACATATATTCAAATATAATTAAACATCACGTAATCATCAAAGTAAACATTATTTAGTAGCAAAGTGTCATACAATGATACAACTACATCTTTGGACTGTATTAACAAAAATAAATGCAAGTGCAAGCATTGCATTTATTTTTCATTGAAAAAAATGCTGTACGGCTAGCATATGCTAGTCATCTGTGACTCACAGCTAGAAATTTTGGCTAGCATTACGGGCCTGTACGACTGGCTACCTCCAATGTAAAAATACAATATATGTAACACTTCTCTCTCAATTTTAATGTTCTCGTCAGCTAAACTGGAGATATGCAGCTTTAATGTCTTAGAATACTCTACTTCAAACATGACAGTAGGCTCATGTTAGTGAACTCAGTGATTTTAATATTTATAAAATCTTATTCATGTACTAGAAAATAAAAATTTCAAGCATTACTCAACAGTTAAAAGGTAATTAAGTATTTAAAAAATTATCGTTTAAGGTTTATGCACATACACCATCTAATTTGAACAATGATTGTAACTGCTTTTTTTTCTGTCATATTTACAGCAATGATTGACAGCATTGGTGGGGCTGTCAAAGTTAACAATTTCCTTGCCACTCTTGATCTTAAGCTGATAAGCCTAGAAAATCTTAAGGAAATTGAGAGAGGGCTGGTGAAGTGATAGAAGCTGTCTGAGCAAAATCACAGAGACGGTCAGCTGAAGAGGCTTACAAATAAAGAAATGGAGTATGTAATTAACTTGTTACCACAAAACATTTTTTAATTTACATCTCTTTAATTGAGAATTAAGTATCTAAAAAATATTTATGCCATTTAAATAACAAGCCATTGTAGACTATTGTCAAAATTGTTTTACTCCTTAATACGAAAAATAATTTACCACTTCTGAGTTAAACGCATTAAGTGTATAAAATATATTTATAGTCTTTTCAATACATGTGCCATCATTCATGTTAAACATTTTCCACCACAGGGACTGCTGAGGTTTAAACTTTTTCAATGTTTATAATAAATTATGTTACACTAATGTACATGTATATACAGTGTCCGTTCTGTAACTTTCATATACATTAAAGTTTCAATTTTTATTTAAAAATATAAAATCACCATAGATGAACTATGTGTTGTGAACAAGACACAGGTTTCTTTGTCTCACTTAAAGGTCACTGCTGGGGTTCGAACTTTGTCAATTTTTACCACCACACTTAACATGTAATATAGGTGGTTTATAACTAGAATCCTTGGGGGGCATTTGTCACTTTCTGTGACAGCTCTTGTTTTTTATGTTTGAAGGTATGTTTATCATTTATTTGCATGCAGCACTAGATTCAGAAGCATTTTTCTTCTGCAGAAAAAAATAAAATAAGACTCATTGTGATCATTATAATAAGCCTAAGTAATACACATGCTATACTTAATTTTGTATGGTAATAACTGTAAGATACAAGGTGCTAGATGTTTAAGTCATGGATAAGGATCTTAAAACCCTTCAGAACCTTATATTATTTGCAAGTTTTTCCTTTCACTTCCAAGCACTGTGTATAAAAGCTATCTATATAATATGATGTGACAATTTTAGGTATTGGTCATACAGCAGACTCAGATATACAGACCTTACCAGATGCAGTTCTAAGGGAAAGTTCAAGCCAGTAAAGATAGAAAATCCTACATTTATAACATTTGATTTGGAAACTACAGATCTAAGTGAGTTGACATTTGCTTTCCTAAAACCAGATTTTGAATATAGAAAAGAGATTAAAGTCATATGTCACATTTCTAAACTGTGTAAAGTATTGAAATAATCATTATTCCAATGTCATGCTAAATTTCTGGAGAGTAACAGTATGTAATCCTATAATTTATTTTCTAATGCATAGAGTAACAGTGTTTGAAATTAGCAGTAGTCCTAAAGCCCCTGACTACTAAATTTCTCCTCGGCCTACCAAGTTTTCAAAGTAACAAGCCCGACCAGGCTACTGTATTTTCAGAACTCCAGTTTTGAACAAGTGAATCACGCTAGTGAAATGTCTTTTGGGCTAGTGAATATTCCAGTATAGTAGCCCGACCAGCCTAGTGGATTCAAATCCTAATTTCTTACACTGGAGTAATTGTGCAGACAGGGTAACAGTTTTCACCATTATAATATGCTAGCCTATATGGGTACATCTTTTGTCACTTTATAGTACAATTTCAATATATTTATTGCAGTTTGAGGTTCACAGATGCCACATATAACACAGATTGCAGCTAAAGAAATAAAGACTGCTGCTTCATTTTATCAGTATGTAATTCCTCCAATGCCAATAGCAGTAGAACCTCAACGAATAACTGGCATAAAAGTCACAGATGATGGTTATATGACTGTACATAGTGAACATGTTAATAACTTAAATGTACATGAATCTTTAGATAATAAAATAAATAAATACAAGGGATGATCTTGAATTTGCATGTAAGATCAAAATGTATTTCATAAAGTTAACATTTTTATTAGTGGCATAGCCATGAGTTTTAGTATAAAAGCTAATGCTAATGAGTAGAATACACACACCCGTTGATACTAGTATAATTTTATCTAACTTGTGAAGTATTGGTAAACAATATTTATGTTTTTTCTGTGACTCTGTGACTGTTTAGTCATTTTATTGCTTTTTACAAGATGAGGTCATTTAAATTTATTGTGAAATGGAAGTTTCGTCCGTTATGAGCAACCAGAACTGGATCGGGAACTTCCTGATGTCATCAAATCATGACATCATAATGTTCATGTTGAAAATATTCGTGTTAAAAGTAAATCTATAACAGTATCAAGATTTTGAGAATGTGATGTATGCAAATTTATAATATACTAGTGCCAATGTTGTGACTTCATAAAAATGGTATTGTATGACTGTCAGTGTGCATATATTTAGATCTGATGTCATTTCCGTTATACAAACATAAAGACGCCATAAATGTTAGTTACAGTAAAGGTGCATCAATGGAGAATTATTATTTTTTATTTTAAACAGTCTTTATTTTGTGCATGTGATACATAGAATATTATATTTATGTAGGTTCGTTACTGCATTGATTCAATTCGTTGAATGTAATAATAATTTGCTCGCCAGTACTAAATTCAGTATTGAACATTGAACACTCCTTCAATATCCTCTATATATCAGCTTTTGTGTTATTATGTTCTGATATTTTCGAAGTGAAATTATTTAAATATTATTTCAATATTTTACTGAGAGGATGCAATGAATTCAAGTAGTTTCTTGTGATGAAATAGTTATTCTTGTAATAAATTTCAATAATTTTCCTGTTAGATTTTGGAAGTTAAGCAATGAAATTTTTGAGAATGTGAACATGACAAATATTATAAAACAATATTTGAAGATTTCATTTAAATGACTGTACATTTATTAAGATAGCCTCTGTTTAGAAAAACACATAAATAATCATATTTTACAAAATCTGCTGTTTTCCAAGAGATAAGTAAGACAGGTTACAGCTATGCTGTACATTTTTGTTTCGGAAAATTTTTACATCATTTTGTAAAACACATTTTTGTCAAAAAAGTAATGTGGAAAGAGGTCATGAAATTTCCATATTTTGATTGCTATGGAAGAGTATTAAAAGTTATAGAAGTAATTTGCTTGCCCCAATTCAAATATTAAAAATAATAATAATAATAATTCTTATTCTATATCTATTTTTATGTGTTTTTTTTTAAGTTTCAGAAATCTTGGATGAGGTTTTAGTCAATTGGCTGAAATCAATACATTTTGTGAACAGTTTATTGTTATTTTGTTATCATAATATATGTCTTGAAACATAATAAACACTTACATTGTAGGTAAAAGCTGCAAATTTTTTTTTTCATATATATTCCTTACCCCTACCCCCACTGTTTTGGGGGCAATTTAGTGGGAGGGGGTATTCACATAAAAATGCTTATTATTTGAAAACTTGATGGTAAATGTCTTTGAAAAGTTGCAATTGAATAAGTTAAATAGAGTACTTTGATAAAATATTAAGCTTGATCAGGTTCCTAAATATACCCATTACAGGTATCTTACCTTAAATCATTTACGTGTATATTATTACGCGAGTACGGGAGACTTTAGATTAAATCTAATACAAAGTCAATGATTTCTTTTGCATTCTTTTTTCTATCCTTCTTTTTATGGTTTCCTGTAAAACATATGGTAAGAAACAAAGTTTTGTGCTGACTTTGAGTTGTCTATTGATTTACATTTAATCATTGAATCTTCAATAGTATAAATAATTAAGTCATCACACGTTTAGTTGAGATGATTGAAAAACCGAAGGTCACTATATATACATGTTTATTTCTTGCAATCGATTCATTTAATATAAATCTGTCGACATTATAACAATACTGCTCCCACCATGGTCCATCTTAAATAACGATACTTTATAGAGGTTTATTTGGTCATATTAATTTTAAATCAATTATAGGTATCACATAACTTGTTTTTGAAATATAATTAATACCAGCATGTAATTCAAAAAGAAGACTGGAAGTACTGTTTTGTAACATAAAAAAACAGACAAACAGACAAACTTTTATCCGGCTAATAATACTCTTCTATCATGTTCTATGTGATATATGAGACAGAAATGCACAACAAATAAGTATTCATCATTTGATAGAATATAAAAGAATGGATAAAGAATGCTTTATCTGCAGTTTACATGTACGATATATCGATTGAACTTTTGCTATAAATATATATAGTTTATTTATAAAAACTTTGCTGCCAATTTCCATCAGTTTAAAATTTATGTTTTAGGTAATATATTCAGGGCAGTTTGTTGTATCTTTACTCAATTTATATGAGCATTTTTGCAAGTTACATAACTTTGCACTATCCATTTTTCAATTTATCGCCCTTAATATATACTTGCGTTTATAAATGTATATTTGACTGGCTTTAATAAGTAAGTTAAATATTTTAACAAAATCAAATAGCAATGACATGCCAATAAGTTTTTTTTCCTGACAATAACAAAGGATCATGACTTAAGTTAAAACACATTTTTTCTTAAGTAATCTTTCATAACTGAGTGAAGGCTAAATGGTTTTTTTGTCATTTCAGGTGCGCATCATTTTTACCTTGGAAACAAGAGACTTGGTATTTTCTACGCATGTACGTTGGGTGTGTTCACTATGGGATGGATAATAGACCTATTCCGAATGAAATACCTTGTCGAAGATCATAACGAGCACACGGAAGATAAATCTCTCGGAACTGCATACATTACAGCGTTACCGCCCCTGGGAATATTTGGTGCACACCACTATTATTTGGATAATGTAAAGCTTGGTTTGATTTATACATTTACGTTTGGTATATTCGGTATAGGATGGATTGTGGATTTGTTTCGAATGCCAAAACTTGTGCGGAAAGCTGGTTTGGATAAGAAATCCATAGGGACTTCGTACATAATGGCGATGCCCCCGTTTGGGCTTTTTGGTGCACATCACTATTATTTAGGAAATTATTTCTTAGGAATTATGTATACATGTACGTTAGGCATCTTTACAATTGGTTGGATAACCGATTTATTTAGAATGAAGAATCTTGTGAAAGCTTCTAACGATCCGACTAGTGATTATGGAACAACAAAGGTCACAGCGTACATTTTATGTGTGTCCCCGCTTGGACTATTCGGAGCTCATCACTTTTACTTAGAACGATATCTTAATGGTGGATTTTACTTGGCAACAGTTGGATTATTTGGATTCGGTTGGTTTTTCGATATGTTAAGACTTCCTGTTTTGTATGAACGCTACGCAGACGAAGATAAGCATAAATACCCGGATGAAGCGTATTTGTACTGGTTTCCCTTTGGCATATTTGGACTTCATCATTTCTATCTTGAGAGAAAGAAATGGGGCATATTGTATGCATGTACTCTAGGGTGTCTAGGGATAGGATGGCTAATTGACGGTATACGGTTACCGAAATTACTTAAAGAATTTAACAAATATGTTCAAGACCCGGATATGAATGATTTCAGAATTTGTAGACCCACTTGTCGTTGTTGTTCTATTTATAGATGTAAACGAAATTGTTATAGTCTTTTCTCCTGTAAATGTTTTGAGAATTTCAGTCTGTCGAGGTCAACCTCAAAAAATGAAAACGAGACAAATGGTGAAGTAAGAACAACACCACGTGACGATTTTGAGGTCATAAAAGAAATGTACCCGGATGAAAATCACGAGGGTTACACCGAGAAATCCGCGGATACGTGTCAAGGTGAAGAACAAGCGTTTACTGTTCAAGAATCGTACGACACTTACCCAACCGACCATTCATCATCAGAGCAGTTAACAGCTCCTGCGTATGATAATGGTGCATATCCGGGAGATCCTGGTTATGGCGAGCAATATGACGCGGAGGGGCATACCGGAAATGACGAATTTTCCTACCCACAATCCTCTAATGACGAGAATTTAGATTATAACCAAGAACACTACCCAGAAAATGAAACATATGATGAGAATTATGCCAATAATGATAATTATGCAAGTGAAGGCAGTAATAATTATCAATATGGAGACAATAATTATCCCAATGATGAGATACGTCACCACGAAGATGTTGACGTAACAGTTCAGAACGAACATGATCAATATGAATTACAAAATAGACAAAATTATCAACAAAGTAACGGCCAGCAAACGGACCAGTATAATAACGATGTTCACATGTGATATTGTTTTCATAGGATAAATTAGCATAATATATGAGTATATAAATATATTGAACTATAGTTGAACAAACGCAAATGTAAATTTTACTATTATATATTTTGTTTTCTTACTTTTTACACTGTGTTACTGATTTTCGTACAGATAAATGATTAGGAATGGTAAGGAAGGGAAGTAACTTCAAACAATGATGTTGATGGGTTTGAATTTTGTTACTTCCCTTGCTTTACTTTAACGATAAGTATTTGGATTGTTACTGTCTGTTATGAATATTTAATTTAAAAAGCCGTATCAATATACAGTTTGACACCAAGGCTCACTAAGTTTAAATCAATTATGTAAATGTCCTTTTTATTGGATGAAAAATGTTGTTGTTTTTTTTTCAATTGTTTTTTCAATTCACTTATAAATGACTGACAATAATACAGGTTTTTATATACAACCAGTCTCAATAGATCTGACTTAAAGTGTATGAATCTTAAATTATACACACATTTAAATTCATTATCAATTACAGTTCATTTTAACCGAATCTCAATATACGTTCTATCACCAATTTATCCTGCTCTATTTTGTACAGAAATAAAGCGCTTATGTGACTTGATCATTGTATATGAGTCAGTTTTAAATTTGTATATTATGCTTTCTTTTTCAATCCCAATCAATAGATATATATCTTGGCATTCGTTATTCGCTTATTTTTAATCAATTTTACAATGTCATCAACTTACCATTTAAAGCAGCATGCCCCCAGGTTAATGCTCACTTTCATGAAATTTTAAAAATGAGCTTAAATATAAAACTATGTGAAGTGAACAAGGAAAGTAATTTACACATTGTATATGTCACTTACAATCCACGTTTATTACCAAAAAAGGTTAAAGTTTGCAAAAATAGCTCTTACAGTGATAGTCACGTAGTAGAAATATTGTGATAAATACTGTAAAAGCAGTCATTAATCCCATAAAACATATGAATAATTACTGGAATTTTTTTACTTTATCAAAATCCTAGTACATTATTTTCTCAATTTGTTGAAATATTTTGTTTTATCTTCAGGCATGTAGCTTTAATGTAGTATCACTTATTGTTCTAAGTTGTCATTAAAAATACGGTTATTTTCTGTAAAGTAGATACTTCATATTTGTAAAATGCAGCATATTTGTGAAGAAGAAAAGCATTTTAGTCATAAAAGTAACACGAGAATTAAAACAAACGCCATGTCTACAACTAAAGTTATTTGATTGATAATTTGTGTTGTTCATAACGTTACAATATATAAGATGGTCTATAAAGAAACTTTTAAATTTCCTCTTAACTCTTTTTTTAAACTCTGTCAAAATCCTCGCAGCGGTTACTTCCCTTGATCAGTACAGAATATAGCGGAGATTGAAATTCATGATACTGCACACCGCTTGTCATTGGATAATTGTGACGTTAATATAAACTGTGTACATGGCTGTTGTCAATTTATAATGTATTTTCATTTTTCTTTCTTTTATTAAAGGAAGTTCGCTGTATCTCTGTATTATGAATTTGTTGAAATAAAGATTGTTGTCGTATATATACGGTAGTTAGCAATATAACCCCCGCCCTTGTATCTGTAGCTTTTTTATATTTGTAGAGTTGACCTTGAGCAGTTCAGATTTATTTCTGTAAGAATGTCCTGTTGCTATTTATATTGCCTGAAATATTACGTTATCTTGAATATTATGATACAAATGTCATTGTATCATAGTTTGGGGACCTTTCTGTTGAAAAAGTGTCAGATTTAAATCGTATACATATACATGCACAGTGCGGTAACTGGAGTGCTCTTTCTATTACTTATTCCTTATAGAATTAGCGAATCATCAAAATATGTTAAATATTTGATATTTGTTGTTAAATAGATTTTTTTAAAAAATTGTTAAAATTTCGCACCTAAATTAAACTTTATGAAGAATAAATATAAGTTCTATGTTTTTAATCTTTAATCATGTTGTAGATATTAAACATTGTTGTCCTCACACTGGTACATGTACATGTACTGACCTTAAAGAGACATTAATGTTACGTTAACACATTAATAAACGCTTTGATATAAAAAACGCGCAGGGTCACAGTTACAGAATGCGGTCCAACAAAACTCGAGACCAGTGGTGCTAAAACTGCTCAAAAGTCAGAAATATAATTAATTTAAGTTTAAAAAAGTATTGCCTCTTTGTTTTGCATGTAACAATCCAAAAAAAACATTACATATTTTATTATAATAAAACACGCAAAATCAAAATAGATTTACTAATATACTTGACATGTGTATTAATTTACTATCACTTTTAAACAACAAATGAACCAGCTAAATAATAAGCTGGGTAATATTTAGATATACTGTTTTTTTAAGGAGTTACACAACCTTATTGATAGGAAAATGGGACATTTTCATCGTAACCAAAGCGTGTATTTGAATATTAATAAGACATTAAATTATAGAAGAAAACATTACACAAAAATACACAATAGACATACACGAACAGGCACTAATGTACTCGGCATTAATTTTGAAATATCACATTTATTATTATCCCTAAACAAAAGGGCATAGTACTGGTATGTACCTTTTAATTGCACGAATATAAGTTTCGTACACCAAATAGACACATTAAAAGTCGTTATATCGCATAGCAAAGATAAAACCTTAAGAAACATATCCAAATACATGTTTATGGCCAGCATTTTTCGTGAATTCACAATTATAACTTCGTGAATATTTTTTTCGACATACGGAATTCACATATTCACGATTTTAGCTTCATGAATTCACGAAGAGAAAATTTTGAATTCATCAAGCTGAAAAATCGTTAATTCACGAAGTTGAAATCTTGAATTCGTGAAGTTGAAATCTTGAATTTGTGAAGTTGAAAACGTGAATTCATGAAGTTGAAATCGTGAATTTTTGAAGTTGAAATCGTGAATTTGTGAAGTTGAATTCGTAAAGTTGAAATCGTAAATTCGTGAAGTAAAAATCGTGAATTCTGGAAGTTTAAATCAAGAATTCAAGAAGTTAAAAATGCCACCACCAGTCTTTCATACAATAACTAATATACGTGGGCATTTATCCTTATTGACAAGATCTTTCTTACCTTATTGGTTGGAAATTTATTTTAATTTCGTACAATTCAGCGCCTGAACACGCCAATAAGCAGTTTTCTGTTGGTTAAACACTCATTGTCAGACAAATATAATTACAAGAACATCTCACCAGAGATATGGGCAGAAATTATCATAGAAATTGACATGTTATAAAGTCGTTGCCTTTGTCATTTTCTATGGAGATACAATTTGTTTTCTTGTTCTGACAAATAATTGATTTCCAAAACACACATTTTAATGATTTCCTAAGGTCTTTAAATGTGGGACATATTAAATAAATAGGTCATAGTTTACAAAATAACACGGTTTTAACAATAATATTAGTTGGATTGTTATTGCTTGACAAATTCGAGGAAGTCTTTTATAAAATGATGTCCATTATGCAAAATTAGATTCGTCTCTATCTGATGAATCTCATAATTGGACTTTTCCCATCTGACATTAAATAAAACATTGGGATATCACAGTTGAGAATTTGGAGTCTGAAAGGCAGATCACTGCTGGTTTTGGCGGGGTAAAGTGTCTTAAAAACATGAAATATACTTGTACCTTATAATTTGTATCAGTGTGATTCATTTTACTTTAATAAAATAGAAATTAAAGAAAATCACCCGTAAAAAGTAGCTCATATTATGGCATTATAAAATACGCCGCGTGAACTATTTCATAACTATGCACATATGTTGAAAGCAAATATGTTACAGGAATTGCTACCAATCTTAGACATTTCCCTTGAAGTATGCACGTTTCAGTAGCGAATGATTTAAAAAAATCTAAGAAAGACACAACTGACTTTTTAAGATATATTTTGACGTATATATATTGAAAATAGATTGGTTTATTTGAGTATACGATGATATTTACTTTCATAAATTGTATAAACGATTCATCCGGACAGCTTTAGATACCTTTGAGTGCTATAAGCAGTGAAAATGGTTTGACTTGTACTATCATTAAAGAGCCAGGCGGCCTGTGAAGGTTGTAAATTGTTGGCCACACATACTGAATATTAAGACATTGACGTTCCTAGAGCATATATATTATTAGTTATAAAGATCGTTGACAGGTTATATGGCCCGATATAAACGGCCTTTTTGTAAATATAATCCGATGCCGTTAGGCGAGGGTTATATTGCAAACAGCCGTTTATATACGGCCATATAACCTGTCAACAATCTTTATAACGAATTTATAATACAGCAAACATAATCTTTAGAGAAAAAAGTAAGTTTTATTCATGGATCGATAGCAGCCGTGTATATAAAACTATATAAACGTCACGATTATCCAATGAAAAATGACGTTACAAACGTGCAGTATTATAAAAATAGACAACTTCGATTTTACACACTCTGATGCGTAAGTATTGAAAGAATTGTCGGTTCTGATGTACATGTATATAATAGACAAAATTATATGCATAAAGTGAACCTTTTATCAACCTTTATGAATATCATTTGGCCAATTATATTATAAACGTTACAACAGAAGTTACTTCGTCACCCGATGAGTGTGTGACAGGCTTCCTGGCTGTATGTAGTGGATTCAAACCAATTTTTTTTAAAAGACACGTTTTATATTGACAACCATCGCAAGTTTACTCATTAACTTCAAAACGTAAAGGTTATGTCTTAGAAGAATTAATTGAAATTTCCAATCAAATGCTTCACTTTCATCATTAATGTCAGAAATGAAGTTGTCCAATCAATTTCATTTGACCTTTTTTTTCTTTGCTGATAATTAGTTCGGAAACTCATTGGAGATTGCCATTAGCGTTCATTTTACAAGTAAAAGATGCTCGTACAATATGTACACATGCGCGTTGTCATAACATAATGTATTTTGTAGCTTTGATTAAGTAAGTATGAATGTGTATTGGCATTGTAACTTGGTTTCGGTTTTGTGATGGGCTTTACTAGTTCAGGATCGCAAGTGAGATGATTGAGGTCCAGTCTTGACTCCATAGAACAGGGTCTTTCAAATTTCTATTTTAGAAGTGAGGGTTAATGCACATTTTTCGCCCAGAAGCACGATGACACATTTTTTTCAATCCAAATCCATAAGGTATGATATTTACTTAATTAAATTAGGGGCTTCCACACATGTTGATGCACTACCGCTATTATAATTTTGTGTTCCGTCATTTTTTTTTTTGTATAACGATTCCGGCTTTGTAATTTTGATTATATATACATGTATATGTTTCTGGCATTAGATTTTGAAAGTTTTAATTTGCATATTCAATACACTCAATAACTTAATCAAATTTATTTTGGCTACACACTTATACTTAAGAATTTTAGGTTTCAAACTTTACTTCAAATTTATTTCGTTGCAAGGTTTTGTTTATTAAGCAATTTTAGACGTAGAAAAGGTCAAATGCCTTTTCTTGAGATAATATACATTTGTTCACAATAACTTGAAATTCCATCATAATAACCAAAAAGATCGACTATATTTAAAATATCTTATCTCTATACATATACATATATAAAACGCGTAAATTTAATTTACAATAAATATTAAAGAGATATTTTATTGTACATGAACACAAATAAGAAAGGACTTTAAAATCCATAACTTAATAACAGTGTATGAAATATCGACTAGCATTTGTAATATATATCTCCTATGGGACAAAGATAAAAGAAGCGTGATATTAAAAATTGATAACAAATATTTTCCCTTCAATGCCTCTTCTTTTATTTGCTGAGACCATGTTTCTTTAAAGCCTGTCATTTCAACATCGTCACGGTAATATGACTCCTGGATTGTGATCTAAAAACGTCAGGAATGGAAGATTTAGCCTAGTATTATGTTGTCTTTTTATTTAAGAAAGTGAAAATGAAATAAAGACTCAATTTTTGTATAAAGGAATGTATCTTTTAAATGCATGACAAATAAGATACATAACAAAAAATACTTTGCTGATATTACTTTTTTTAACAAAAACTTTATTAAAGTTGGAATAAATATCATTGGACAGAGGGCTAATAGAAAAATAGCACGAACTCCGTAAAACAAAAGGACATTGCTGAAAACATGGACTAATAAGAGTTTATGTTAATATGTAACAATCACATGACGTTAATAACTACAATACTTTGGAATTATTTGACAATTGAAACGAAGAAATAATTAGGGAGATAAATGAGCTGTATAAAAAATGATACTGTCTTTTACAGACGCTTTAGTACTTCTGAATTCATTATTTTTACGCAGCTATTTTCCTTAAAATAAAGATCGAGATTCTTCTAATGCCATGTACTAAAGACAACAGTAAACCAAGTTAAAGGACTAGAGCAGATGCGCGTATTAGAATTATAATTGGATTATAATAAAGAAATCAAGCAGGACCGTTACGCAAACGTTACAACTGCGAAATTCGTTTATGCATATAAGATTTGAAATCGTCTTGTTTCTGATATGGGATTAACGGTGACTAGATTATTTGTGTGTATATTTATTGATAATTGTGTTATCATGTAAATGACGTTCAACTCGCAACGTGAAAATTAACCCGAATATGTTGAAGTATCAAGTACAATTGATATGTGTTCTCATGGTCACCGTGTGTCAGTGTCTCCAAGATAAACCTCAGAGTAAACCTAACGAACAAGTCTACAATGTTACACAGGACATACCTAATATACCTACTA